TCATCTAATTTTTTTTAACTAAATCAATATTTTAATATAAATCCAAGTATTTTCTTCTTCCAGATCGGTAATATTGAATTTCAGTTTTGGTATGTAACACAACGTAAATAGAATTAGATTTGTCTACTTATTTTGAGGAGAAAGAAATAGTGTATTTTAAAAAGTTGTGTTTCTTTTGCTTTATCCGATATACCTTAACATTTACTTCTGCTAATAGGTGTTTCCCATAATATTTTCAAATCAATTGCGTTTAAACATGGGACAATAGTCTAATTTATTTATATATTAGTTGAAATCGAGCAATTTTGTTCTTGTTTAGACTCTTGGTCAAATATTATCCGCCTCTCGGTAGGGTATTTTTAAACTCATAATGAAAAGGTGAAAAGTAAATTTGCGGTTTCGTCGAGCAAGTATGAGATAATTTGCTAGAAAGGATATATATACACACACTCGCGCGCACAAGCGAATAAAAATTATTAATAAAGGGGTGAAAAATGCAATAATCATTTAAATGCTTCAATTTAATATCATAACTAACAGTTCTTTGTAGATAGTATTTTTTTTGCTTATGTTCCTTTCTGACAATTTGGTTGGTTCGTTACGACCAAAAACTCTTTTTATCGACAATGATATCCCTCTACACCATGCAACATATGATTTTTCATGTTGAAAATATGTTGCGGCAAAATATTGTCCAATATTTGAAAAATATGATATTCCTTTAACTTTTCTTTAATATGAGAAGCTAAACTTTTCTCCTCTGGTACCGGACTCGTAGTAGTGACCCTCGCTTCGCTGTCCGGGACTTTTCTGGTCTCTTTTGCTCCTGACCCGGTATCGCGAAGTGACCCTGGCTTCGCTGTCCAAGACTTTTCTTGTCTCTTATGCTCCGGTGCCGGTTTCACAAACTGACCCTCGCTTCGCTGCGTGATTAACAAATTTGCTGCCCAAAATGACTCAATATTAACATTTTCTCTTATTTTATTTACGTTTCAAATGTTTGTATTTTTTTTCCTTTATTCTTCCTCCTTTTTAATGTTAAAGTTTAAAGGTTATATGTAAACTAATTAAAGAAATGAATTTAATTTCAAGTCTAGTTGATGAGGCGTGGCTATGTGACCAGAGCGTGATTAACAGCCTTCCATGGCAACTTCTGGCCTTGTAGCAGTAGAGGATTGTTCTCAGTCCAAACCTTTTTGGCAAGAGTAGGGATGCGATCAATCCAGCAACTATACTTGCTTGACTATTACTGAAATATAATTACATAAACAGTAATGTAAATTCTAATAGCAGAAAGTTGATAAATAGAAATGTGTCCTGCATTATATGAGTATTGATCATTTAAGAACTTCCTAGTTTTCCATGTTCTGTGATTGTTGCAAATGGCATCTGGCTTTCTTTTGCATTAACGTAGCTATCAACTAATAAGGTAATGTGAATTCTAATAACGTAGTTCAGTTGGAAAAGTTGACAGCCTATGTGGAAAATGGATATAGTTCCATCAATGCCGTTAAGAGATTCAAATTATAGGTAATCACTTATATGTATAGAGTAAATCTCAAGAATGACTATTGTCAACTATGACAAAAACTCAGCATAACTCATAGAGTTGACTCTTAAGTACAAATAGCCAATTTCTACAGATTTTATTTCTGAAATTGTGAAGCTGGATCTGACATTGAAATGTCCAAGGGACATGGACAATTCATTAGCTTTATAAATTGTTGAGGATGAAACTCTCATATATAACAATTCTCTTATCTTACCCTATGTACTCAATTCTTTCAGTTCTGTTTGGTGCGCTTAAAAAATTCATACTCCAATCCCCATGATACATATTCTTATCCTGTTTACTCAAGTCTCTCAGTTCTATTTGGTGCATAAATAAGCATAATCCAATCCCTCATTACATACTGCTTGTCAGGTATAGACATTCCTGAAGTTTTTCTTGCATATAAAGGAGTGAAAATGCAATAATCATTTAAATACTTCAAATTAATATTATAACTAACAGTTCTTTGTAGATAGTATTTAATATCATAAAACTTAAAAGTTAAACAGGAGAAGAAAGGTGAAATGATTCAAATATATTGTTCATAACTAATAAGAGTAGTAATAATATACTAAATGAACTCATAAAATAGTTCTTGATTTCTCCAACTGTAACATTCCCAAACACATTATGTTGTTTTCTTCTTCTTAAATACTCTCTTCATTTTATTTCCTGACAATTGTGCATTCGGATCTTCTTCAACCATTGTTGCGGCATTAGTTATACCTATCTGGGCAGGTGTATGTGCAACATCGGTTGTGTCGTTATCTTCAGTGGAATCCTGCATATATAAAATAAAAATTTAGTGCAAAATTAGTGTCTGCAGTTGTTGCTTACCAAATGCATTTTTAGTAATTGGGTTTTACATACAGATGAAGTGGAAGACGATGGGGCTCTTCCTCCTCTGGCGACCAAGCGTCTAATCATGGGACTGATGAGAAGCTCACAAGGTCCCAGAGAAAGAGGCTACGACGAAAGAAGCTTAAGGAAGCTGCCTCTTGCCGCCAGAATATAATTGGGCCGTTATTGCCTACAGTAGAGAATGATGGGAGGGGTGAAAATGTGAGTACAACATAAGAGATCCAGAATATAGTTGGTCCGTTTTTCCCAACAGCAGAGAATGATGGGAAGGGTGAAAATGTGAGTACAACAGAAGAGGAAACACAAGATTTTCGACAAATTGCCAATGAGCCAGGTATGATTTGAGGAGTAAAAAGTAGCAATAGCAGTAGTTTTCTGGTTTCTCTCCTTATTTTCACTTCACAGTTGTTTATATGTATTGAAAGTGGAAATAAATTTATACAGAGGCAGTATAATTAAGCCTGCTTAACAGGTTTTCTTATCTTATTCTATGAAATATTAATACTGTGTTCATAGATTCCCATAGAAAAAACAAAGTGAACATCTAGAACTTTTAAAGTTATAAAAAAAACTACTCCAAATCTGAAAAAATTTTCAGAAAGAAATCCTTCAAGATATGTAAGTCGCTTTAATGTTAAAGGACAAATTAGTTATGTATTTACCTCACATTCCTTCTCTCCATCCAAGACTTGAATATTATTGAAGTCAGGTTCCTATCAAAAATTAATAAATAAATGAGTTTGAAATTATGATTCATTATGCAATATAAAAGAAATTTGCAATCTAAATATGTTATGAAGTTTGTGAACAAATATGACATACAGTTAAGTCATCTGAAGGTTGAGCAGGACTATATTTGTTTATCAGCTGCTCCTCATCCGTAAGCTTAACAACACTATAAACTTCCTTTTGCTGGTGAATGTTCTCTGTCTTGATAATAACCTTACTACTGGATAGGGATACTTATCAACAGCACCAGTATTCTAGAATGAAATTTTAAGTTAGAATTATGCAAATAACAAATATAAATTTAATTAGTTGATATACCTCAAGAAACCCTTCCTTCAATTCTTTTGCTGATTCGCCTATGAGAAACATGGTTTCACGGCCCCAGAGCAATAGGGAAACAGATCCAGTAGTATCCATTACCCTAACTTGAAGCTTGTACCTAATTGCACAGTTGATTTGAGATATAAATGTAATATTTTGATGGATTAAGGAAATATAGCTGCTGATTTTACCTAATAACTGCTGAGTAATCTTCATGTTTACATTTGGGGTTTGGGCATTGATAAATGTTTCCTAGTTTATCCACCTTCTTTTGACACTTCTTGCAGCTAACGTACGACCATCCTTTTTCAAGTTCTAAATTTTCAATACTTGCGACAATCCAACATGGACCTTCCTGTTGAATAAAGTGATAAGACAATTGTTGAATAAATTGATAAGACAAATGTAATGAAAAGACATAGAGAATATGGTCAAACATAATATCAAAGAAATAACATAAATGTAATTGAAGAATTTTTCATCTTCCAAATGAGGAAACACTCTTTAAAACCATAAAATAAGAGGACTAAAGGCCAAAAATAAACTTCATATGTAATGTAAAGACATAAAAAAAATGGTCCATGTGGCGACTCAGTGACATGAGGAAAGGATAGGTACCTATATGATATGGATTAGGATTTAGAGGTACTGTGCCAACATGCCGTTGATCGCAAGGAACGCAAATTAGTTTATATCAGTTAAGAGTTCAAATATAGATAAATTGAGCTATAATCTTCTTNTAATCATCTTTCTGGTTGCGATGATTTTCTAGATAAGTCGAATTGTTACTATTGTGCGATTTTCTTCGCATGTTGCTTGCTGCATTATACATGTAGGAGACTGAGGTTCTGAGATCATATGAGGTCTATGTAATAATGTAGTAATCTGGTAGATGGTCTACTGGGGATTACATATTAGGCTAGGTAGTTGTTTATTAGGAATCTATCCCATTAAAGATGACAAAGAAGATTTGAACTACTTCTAGTCTTTAATTTGTTTGTGGCCTCTAGTCAGTTTATCTAGCTATAACTTAAATGGTGTTAGCATAGTTGACTTAAGGAATACATAATCTATATCTTAATTTCAATCCTGCTATACTACTGCTCAATCATTTAGCATGTAGATAATGAACAATTACTTGTTCTTTTCCCTCTATTTGACTGCTAGAGTTTCTTCATTGGTTGTTCACTATCTTCTGTGCATCTTTACCTAAATTTAAAAACTGCCTTTTTCAAACCATAAAATGGGAGAAACAAATATGTGCATTTTTGCAACTTTTAACCTGAAACAACAGTTAAATTAATACTACAGAAGTTACGTCACTCACTTGCATGGACTCCACTAATTGGCCAATTGTTTTAACTTGAACAATGCCCTTCTCCAACTCATCCGAGATAGAGTAACTTTGTTGAGAGATGGTTTGAGTCAGCCTCTCAGAGTTATTATCCCGAACAGAAAGTAATTTGTATTTATGAATAACTAAAACAGTTAGATGTATACTTGGAAAATTTGATTTGAGTATAGAAGCAGTGAAATTTTATATAAATAAATCAATATATATATTGAACCGTGTTTTAAATTCATCAGATTGAGGAAAATTTGGATTAATCCACAGCTTTGATGCATTCCATGTATTGCGCACAGAATATGAATCTACAAAACAACGTTCGTGTAAGATATAATGAATAACTTTCACAAAGTAATGTTAAATTGAGTAATTGTATTTTACCTTGATATTTATGGGCTTTTATTAGCTGCATAACAACAATAATAGGCTGGTTGTTAGCACTTAGTAGATGAGGAACAATTTCATCAACAAACTCCCCCCAAAATGTAGCAGACAACTTCTTCCTCCTGTCAAATAGAAATAAGAATGTAATTTTAGCATATGTAATTATCAAATCAATCCTTAATTAGTAGATGAATATTTATTCTTACTCGTCATCTTCTAGTTCAATATCCATAAACTTCCTAGAAATTCCACCTTGGTTTTGCGTTTGTACCTCACTGAAATTGACAATTTCTCCGATGACATCTAAAGAAAAAGAAATTGTTAAAATAAATAGTAGATAAATTCATAATTAGAAAATTAACGTAAAATCTTTATTTACCAAATAATTCAGTCTTGTTCACGTCAACCTTATTTATCAATTGATCATATGGTCGCAAATCAAAGATATTGATTGGGAAAAGTGGATCAGTTGTTTCAGCCACTGTTGTCCGTTGAGTAAACGTCAGCCTCAACCTATGTTTCGTGGTGTTGAACTTCTCCTTATTATGACAAACGATAAAGTTCGCCATATTATATAATCCAAGCTCAGTAATTTGTGTTTTGAAAAGATGCAAAACTGACTTGCCAATAGAAGCACTTATGCGATCGCCCTACAAAAAATTACATTACATAATAGACTGAAGCATAGATTGATGTTTTTGGCAGTATTAAACAGCGTGATAAGTACATAATTTTGCATCGTGTTACCTGTCTTCTGGTGCAACCTTTATACCGACTATGCAATGTTATGATTTGTATTAATGGTAATTTATATTAACTATTAACTATAGTCGTAAACAGTAGAGTTAAACAAATTAATCAGTTGTAGTAGTAGAGAAAAAAAATCAGATTTGCAAGTGAAACTGTTTTTGGTAATTTGAAAAAAACGCCTATGCATGACAGGAGATCCCCTAACTCTTGGATGTGAAAGAAACTTAATGGCATTTTGGACTTGATCCTCCCGAACTGGTTCTGAGTTTACAAATACAGAAGTTAAAGAGATCCCTCTTATAGCCTCAGGCTTGGAATCCTGATTATCTTTAGTAGCTGGTGCAAAATTACTAATATAGAAGGAGATTTGATATGCAAATCTGCTGCATAGTAGCTGAGTTGTAGTAATAGA